TATATATATATATATATATATATATATATATTGTGTATATACCAGTTACATATATCATATAATACAAATATAATTCACCTCTTTCCACTCTCTGCCCTCTCTCGCTTGCCTCTCTCCTCCCTCTCCTAATCTCGTATGCCTCTCTCCTTCCTCTCCCAATCTCACCCGCCTCTCTCCTTCCTCTCTCAATCTCACCCGCCTCTCTCCTTCCTCTCCCAATCTCGCTCGCCTTTCTCCCTTTCTAATATGTAGCTACGAATCGTGATTAACAAACTATAGCTATAGAGCCTACTTAAGTTTATTTTAGTGGCTATTTACGAAATTTCCTTTTTTAAAAGAAAGTCTATTGCTTGTATGGGCTCAACTTAGTTTGAACTACTTGGGCCCATCTCATTCTTCTTTATGCTAATATATATGTTACACAAGAACATAAGCCTAGACTTTTGATAATAGTAAAGTAGATATGGGTCTGTTTGGGCCTAGCTACCCATTGTTCAAAGGTGTGTTGACTGGTTAGACATGCACTATTGGAAAGGTTTACTAGAGATTCTTTTCGATCTTTAATCATATGTTTTGAGTTCAAATCTAGAAAATAGAGAAAACACACAATACATATCATGAATTTGGATCGGATCATCCTATCTTTAATATGAAATTTTGAGTTCAAATCTAGAAAGTAGAGAAAACAGACCATGCGTATCATGAATTTGGATCGGATCGGATCGTGATGGAATCGTGTAAGGTCATGCATTATGAAATATTCTTTATTCTTCTGTACATGGAGATAAACAGAATTTCATAGTGAAGTGTGCATTCTGTTGATCAACAAGAGTAAATGTACGAACGATAAATTAATTAAGCAATTAAATAGACTTGCTGTTTGTCCAGTTCATGTACGATATTTATTTAGGAGAATGAAGCAGCAGACCAATATATTCTTTTTTTCAAAATACTATTTTCTTCGTTATAATTTATGTAATATCTTTTTGAGAGTTGATTGAATTCTTTTACTGCAATCCTTGCCTTTTAATAATTTAAACTATTAATAATTAGACTTGTAATATCTTTTACACACTTTAAATTTATTTTTTCTTGAAAAACAATTGATTCTTAAAATCCGGACATTACTACATAAACTGGGACATATAAGAATATAATATAAGGTTTAAAGTGTACAAAAAAGGCCCGTGAAGACATTTAGTTTCTTTTGTAAATTCCAAATCATTGAATATATATATATATATATTAAAAATTAAAGTTTGAAACTGAAAGCTTTGTCTTATGTTATTGGCCTTTCCCTTCTATTTAATTTGTACTAAAGCAAGTCTCCATCAATATAATGCCGCAAAGGAAGTGACAATAGTTTTAACACGTAAAATGAGCGAGTTGAACTGAATTTAGATAAGAACAAAATGAATTGAGTTGATGAATTAGAACGAGTGAAAAATAAATTATAACTGAATTTGTTTAATTTTTACTAATTTTATTTGTTCTTTTTATAAATTTTTAGTACTTTGTAAAATTATTTTTAGTTATTATGACTATATATTATATATTAAATAAATAAATATTTTAATATAGTTTCTTATGGGTAAATTTAGATTTTAGACAACATATCAACTCTTTTTTTTATTTTATTTTATGAAATGAACTATAATAGACTAAGCTAATAAATAAACAAGTTGATAGCCCATCCAAATATAAATAAAATAGACTAATCATATTTTGATAAGATAATTTTATCACCTATGTAATAGTTACATCTTATAGGTATAGCCCCTCTAATACAAATTTAAACTGCCGTAAATGCAGCAATTATATTCCAATAATATAATCAAGAGGTAGCTTCATGGCAGAGCTAGCATTCCAATTATATGTATAATATATCAAAATTAATTTATCAAGAACCTGTAAATTTAGAATTAGTTAATGTGATGTTTATGTATAAGTAACGTTTTAAATTTGCTTTTGCACATGTACCATAGTTTACGCTGAAAATAAAACACACATATCCAAATAGTGCTTTTTAATTTACTTATGCTAATAATTTAACTCATTCACCGGACGAGAGGGAGTTGCTTGGATGGTAAGCACCCCTCACTTCCAACCCGAAGGTTGCGAGTTTGGTGACGGGAGCAAAAGGGGTGGGGAGCTCCTAGGGAGGGTAAAAAAAAAAAAACTCATTCACCATTATTACTTTGAGGTTCTGAAACACAAAGAGATTTTAGTAGCTCGATGGTGTCGAGCGATTTTTAATTTACGTTTGTTAATAATTTAACACATTCACCATTGTTACTATGAGGTTCTGAAATACAAAGAGATTTTAATAGCTCGTTGGTGTCGATTAGGGGGTCCATATAGTTTTGTTGCTCTCTATGAAGGTCTCTTTCATAAGCATATTATTGGGCAGTTTTGGCTGACAATTTGCACATTATCATGCTGCAGTGAACCCGTGACAAACCGCATATCTTATGCCTTAAGATTTTTGGAATATATATGGACAAGAAAAACTATATACTATACTCCAACTAAGCTTCACGAGAGACTTCTATTCATTATGCTTTAATATAATTATTGGTCCCTCTAGGCTCCAACCTTTTTGATATTATTATTCTAGTGTCGCGTTTTAAAGTTGTGTATAACCTAGTTCAAAGCGAACACTATTACTAATTGGCTGGATTGGAGTATGGTTACATATGGTATTAGATCGAGCTACTTTATGTGTGCAACCTTGAATTATGATAGAGTAAATCTTAGTGATGACGTTGAGTCCTTTATGGGGGGGG